TCTCGATGTGTCGGCCATTGGACCTCCTAAAACGTTGTTCAATTACACGGCTGAAGCACACAAACACACGACGACAAACATGCAGCTCAAGACAATGACATTGCTACTACTCAGCGCTGGCGCCTCAGTGCTTGCGACGTCTCGTTGCAACAAAGACGTGTTCAACTCGTACGTACTGATGGCGCCGTACGCAGTCGAGTTCGCGCTGCTTACCAATGCGTGTGCGAACGACTTGGGAAAAACTATTGAGGAACTAATGGCGCCGACGCGCAACCAAACAGACGGCATCCTCTATCGCGACAGCGCCAACTGCAAGGAAATGACCGAGCTTGCACGGGATATCTACGGCCAAGTCGAGCCTTCTGCGTAACACAGGCTCCGGACGGAACCGATATGCTCACGAGCCAGGTTGCATCCCTAGCGCACGCGCAGTGGGCGGATTTGCTCTACCCGAATGCAACGTCGTCGCTCAACGTCTCGTCGTCGACAATTGAGAAGCAGCCGTCGGCGACCAAGCCCCTTGCGACACCCGTCAGCACCAAGACGGCAACTCCTTTGGCGACGCCGTCGGTCCGGCAGCGTTGGGTCCTATGGCGCAACGATACACTTGGTGCTCTCGCCATACCGTAGCCACTCTCCTAACGTTTGAATCAAAGGGAATTGTATAGCGAAAGGTCAACGATAAAGAGGATCCGACGTAAGACGATGCAAGGGAGATGCCCTCCCTTGAACGATCGGACGGCGTCTGCCGTGGAAGCCCACCATTTCGGTGCTTAAAGGTCGCGCTAGGGACAGCTGGTCTATCGCGCCAACGTGGACAAGGCACGCAGAGCGTATTATTGCATCAACAACTGCCCTCCACGAGGCGGTGGATCCAAGCATCAACCGAGGCTATCGTTCAGAGTCGGTGGGTTTTTTCATGAAACCGCTTGCCTCGCGCCAAAAATACAAATTAAAGTTGGATCGTTAACGGCATGAAAGGACCCGAGAGCGTCAACGGGGTCGTCGCACCCGCGGCGCGGAGCCGCAAGCGCAAGGCGTTTCTGTACATCTTCAACAGCGTCACGGCCATCATCGCGGTACGTCCCCTCCCTGTCTGATTGCTCATCGCATTTTCGCTTGTAGATTACCGTCATCTTTATCGTCAACACGACGGGGGTTGTGCGGACGGTGCAGACGTTGCTTGGGAGCTCCGACACGCCTCGTTCGTACGGCTATCACTCGTTTAACATGCCATTTCTGCTTCGCGAAGCGGTGGTCTCGGGTCCCAGTGTCCAGAATCGCATCACCACCGTACAATGATACATTCTCTAAGCATCTGGACTGTCGGTGCTCATGTGGATACTTTCGTAGCTCCTCGATGCGGGCTACCACGTGGCCTATTTGGAAAAAGATACGACCGACGCGACGCAGTTCCAGCCAAACAGCTGCGCCAATATTGTCAATGCGACAACTGAGCGCATTTACGCACCCAACTACGTTTCGTTTCTGATGAAAAACATGATGGTCGAATATGGCATGGCCGCCACTGTGACCGACAACAGCGCGATTGCCGTCGTCGACTGCTCCTTCGAAGGTCGCCTCGCTCAAGACACGACGGCGTTCAAGGTATTTTCCAAGTCCGAGTCTCTGGTATCTGGATATGAACTAGGCGTATTTGCTTGAGCGGCACCTCAAGTGGGTGGTGACGTTCCAGCTGCAGACAATTATGGCCAATATTCCAGCGCGGCGCGACACGATGCCGACGGGCACGGTCACGATCACCAACATGACCTTGGCGTCTTTGCAAGTTGCCCCCACGATACCTTCCGGTGACACTTTGGCGGGCCTCTCGTCGTCCGAGGTGAGGTTTTTTCGAGATTCGATTTTGAATTTTCGAGTTTTGAAATTTAAAATTTGAAATGGGTGATTAGGTTGCGATCCACCGCATGTTTTCGTCGCGCGGGTTTCCCTTCAACACGGCAGCATTTGACGAAGTGTACATCAACTCGACCACGAGCACGGGCGCGTGGAACACCTACGTGCTTTCAACGGAGCTGGAAATGATTCTCCAGGTTTTGAATCTCTTTTGGACAATTTTTGACATTTGGAGGGTAGGGGTATGGTGGCATGTACCGCGGGTCCCAGAACGAACAAGCCAACTACAATACGTTTGTGTGGCAATTGTCGCCGAATCCGCTCGACCCGATTCACTACTTTAACTACGAAGGCGTCGGGCGCATCAAAAACTCGTGGGCGTGGGGCCAAGCTTTGGTGAGCGGTTTTCTCTCGTTTACGATCATTACGAGCACGGTATATATCTTTATGTTGTTGCATATGTTCCAACTGCGAATGGACATGTTGTCGTAGATCATGGCGTGTATTATATCCAAAAACATCCATACCGCGACCGGCGTCTGGTGGATTCCCGACATTTCGCCGTCCGTCGGCTCGGGCATCGGGTTTCGTGGCGTCCTCACGATCCTCGCGTGGTGGATCGACGGCTGGTGGGCGCTTCAAGAATGGTACGTGGTCACTGTATACATAGTTATTTCCCCTTTTTGACCCTTTTAGGTCGTACAACCAAGGCAATGCGCGCAGCCATCTGCTTACGATGTATGTCCTTACCGACTCCATCAAGTCGGACTGCTTGAGCCTCTTTCTCGCGGGCGCCGCGCTCATTGCAACCAACTTTCGACTGCGTGTGAACCCCGCGGTGCGTCTTGTTCGTATCACGAATGGACGAGCATGGGTGTTGCTAGATCCCAGTGATCGTGTACATGATTGTCTACTCGCAGCGCGAAGCCATCGTGGCCGGTCTCGGTTTCATTCTGACCCGTATGTCCAACAACATTTATGAATGTTTCAACGTGTCCTTGTAGGGGCCAACGACGAGCTCATGGCCAACCAAATGCTCAACGTCGTGCCGTCCGACTCGTCGGGTCTCGACATGTGGATGTGGCACGAAAAGCTCGACTTCAACGCAACGATTGTCTTTAACGAAATGACGTGGTTGTACATTGGTACGTGACCATGTAGATTTTACAAACTATAGGACTATCTAACAAGGCATGTAGCGCTCATCGTATTTGCGCTCTACTGCGCGATGAATCGCTTCTACACGGTGCGCTTTACAGACCACCTCGTCGAAGCTGCGCACACCCGCGGGACGATGACGGCCGACACGGTCCACAATTTTTCAATAATTTTGCGATTTCAATTGGACAATTATTGTAGGGTGGCACGGGTGCGACCACCGGCAAGTCGGGTAGCACAGAGAACGCAACGTGTTTTGAAAGCAGCACGGTATTCGTGTTTGGTATGAGATAGGATATCATGACAGTGAATATGTAGGGGGAATATTTGCGCCATAAATATGGTCTCATGTCGTACCACGAAAACTACCTCTTCATCAAAGGTCACATACTATTATCCACTCATAGACTAAGAACTTGTTGGACGACATGTACATCCTTCTTAGGCATGAAGTATGCGTCGCCGTCTGGGATTTGGACGTCGGGGTGGGTCGTTGTCGACAACCGGTTTCTCTTTCGTACCGACGACATCATGAAGGTACGTTGCCGATGCACACGTGTTTAGGGGAATACAAGCTCATTTTGTTGCTTTTTGTAGGTGTTTTTCAACATTTTACTGTGCCATGACATCTTTCGCGCCCACTGCCACGTCATTACGGAAAGCAAGGTCGACAAGACGGTGATCCGCGTGTTCCGCAAGGATATTTCCATCAAGCAACTCTTCACCCTCTCGCTTCGCCCGCTCTCGTAGACATCTCGCTCGCTCACTCATTCATCTTCTTTCTACTAGTACATATATTTTCATTTCCGATTCCAAATATTCCTCGTTGCTTGCTTTCGGCCACTCTGTCACTACATATTGATTCCGAACATGAGAATTGTCATCGCAACGCGCGTCAATAAATTTGTGAAATATAGATACCGAAATACATAACTTGTATACTAGTGCAAGGACGGCGCTATTCACACGTGCCCGATGTCACCGAGTTGTCGTCAGGGGTACCCATGGTTCCAGTACTCTACTTGACATTGAGCGCGTTGCAGTTTTGCTCGAGCTGGACACAAGCCGCCTTTATACACATTCAGCAGAGGCGCATCATCGACTTACGCGCGTAGCTCAGCGATACTGTCTAGCAAGTCGCGGAGCAGATGCGACTCGTGGCCGAGCGTGTGGCCCACATGAAGGCATCGCATGAAGGCCGCTTCCGAAGCAAAAACAAGGCACAGAGCGCTGCAGTCGGTCGTGGCGGCGACGGCCGCGTTGCCGTCTTCAATGCAGCGACACAAGGTCGCGGTCACCTCCGCCAAGCCGTCGCTGGCGTCCGTCAAAACCGTGCTAGCCGTGTCCAAGACGTGTGCGCAGCGGGAGCGCGTGGCCTTGTCCCAAGGGTATTGTGCATGCGTGAGAGTATATCTTGGAGACTCTTGACGCACTGAAAGAGCTTCGGTCGGAGCGACGCTTCTGTACCGAGGTCATGTACAAGCCCACTTGCGCCGCCTCAAAACCGCGTCTGCCAAGTCAATGTACAACGACAGCGCCGTGTCGGTTGCTGCGGGGCACAGGCGTGTAGCGAGGGCGACTTGGTCGTCAAGAAGCTGCGGAAGCATATGCTCATGCTGTGGGTCATTGTGCTATATTCGTCGAATTGCGTTGTGTGGTGGTCCGCTATCGCGCTCTCCAACTTGACACAAAAGAATCTAGCCAAATGGAGACGTGGATTCGTAATTATTTGTGGAGCTATGAGGTCCGGCAAACTTGATTACTTGATATTATTGAAACACATGCTTGACAAGTGCCATATATGCAGTCCAATGAAAGTTTCGCGGCCGCCTTTTTAGGATAGGTGCCACGACAACATTCACAGCGATTTGTCATTGTATAATCTCTGCGCGTGCTAACGTGCTGGTGATGGACAGCAGCTCGTCGCCGCATGTGCGACATGTTCATTGTCGGTACCTTATCCATTTGTGATCGACGTCCATTTGGGTCGGCACAGCGGGGATATGGTTCGATATGTACTGGCAAATAGAGTGTATTCTGTGTCTTATGAAATCCCCAGCCGGTACGATTGGAGTCATTAGTGTACATAATAGTGTTGATCTAATGGACGCCTATTGCAAAAGCTGTTCAATGTACTCGTGATGGCTATCCTTGTACGACGTGCAGCAACGGACGAGGTTGGTGCAGTTGTCTTCGAGCACTGCCAGTCGGACGCTGACATTGTCCAGCGTAATAAACAAGCGCACAATTCTCGCTTGTGTTGTGATGGCGCTGACGAGCTGCGCGTCAAGGTTAAAAACGTCGTGCGCGCGGAGGAGCGCGTCGCGTGTCGCCTCAAAGCACGTATTGGCAGCGTCGAGTTTGCGCAAAATGTTGTCGCGCTGCGTTTGCGTGTGTTTCGAGGTGACGACAAAGCTGTTGTTGATGGCGACGCGGAGCTCGGTCAACAGCCCCACCGCAGTATTCACGTCTGAGAGACCCGACTCGATGCTGGAAACAGTCGCCGCCATCATGCGTGGTGCCGCTTCGAGGCGTTCGCGGATCAAACGACGTAGCACAGTGGCATTGGCAGCATTGTGGCAGAGCAGGTAGCTGCTGAGATAACTTTCGACTTCGTCGCACCATTGGTATGTCGTCTGGGTCGCGCCTTGGTGGTGCGCAAGTCCGCGGTCCATGCACGAGTCGACCATGTCAAGGTATCGACGCGCATCAGCGGGATAGTCGTATTTTTCCGTGAGGAGCGCTAGAATGGAGTTGCTACAGTCACCCCATCCAACCGATTGGGCATTGTCACAGCGCACCACGTCCCGAGTTGGGGGCGGTACCGATGGACCCGACGTCGGAGGCCTCGAGGGCGTGCTGGTAGTTGAACCCATACAATGTGTTTGGTGAAGTGAGCGAGGCTTCTGACGCCCGTGCGTGCACGAGCTAGATACAAAACGTCACGTGGCATGAGATAATTCTCGTGCCAAGTGGCGGAAAGGGGACTTGAAAGTTTTGTATCAAGCAAAAGCCTTCAACTTTGTGTATCAAGTTGATGTCCGGGCAGGTCATCCTCGCTTCCCAAAAGCGTTGAAAGCAAAAGCGGCTTTTGATTTGTCGCTTATATATCTATCTATTTATGAACGCGAATATCCGTCTTGATTATTTTTTGGTTGATTGAACCAACTGTCGATAATCGCATGCAAGCGGCTATGGGCTAGTTTTAGAACTCGAAGGCCAGCTGTTGGCATCTCAGCTCTTGTGAAAGATGGGCCACAACCGGTATTATACCTGTACAATTATTGCCTCTGTCCGTTGCCTGATTTTCGGTATTTACGACTTGTAACACCAATTTTGTGCTGGGAATAGTCAGCGTACAAACGAGGTGCATGGTTCGACTCTGTGTCTGGGGTTGCTAGCCAGGCTAGACGAGTGGAGTACGCAAAAAGTTGAAGAAGAGTAGTGGAGCACGCAAAAAGTTGAAGAAGAGGATATATATGAAAATCTAGTTCAGTTTGCCGTAGCACCTTATCCATCAATGGAAGGCTACAATAGTTGAAGCCAGCTAAAACACTATTAATGCACATGTACCTATTGTCTGCTTGTCTTTAGCAAAGGAAGCACGTCACTTTGAGAGGAGGCCGGCATACTCGGAATGCCTTTTCTTGTACGATTCGCAGAGCTGGACGAGCTCTTTGCCCTTCGACGCGAGCATGGGCATCGAAGCGCTCTCGAGCTGGATGAATGTCTTGACGACGCCTGCGCTGCTTTCGAGAAATGCGACGTGCTGGGCGTCGCGCTTGAAGGCGGAACGAGCGCGATAGAGGGTATCATGGGTAGCCGTGAAGCACGCGAGCGCGCTCTCCATCTTGGCCTCGATTGCCGTGCACTCTTTCGACGATTGAGTGCCTTTGACTGCAAAGGCTGCGTGGATCTCGGCACGAAACTTGGACAGTAGCCCGATGGCGAGGTTTATGTCCTTGAGCCCCGATTCGATGCTGCAAAGAACAGCCTGGACCGTCGCTGGCGCTTTGTCGAGCCGTTCGATCGTAAACGCACGCATCGTGGCTTTATCGTTCTCGGTACAGGCCTCGAGGAAGCCCACGAGATAACTTTCGAGCTCGCTACACCACTTGTATGTTGTCGCGGTCACCTTCCGGTGGTGTTCGAGTCCACTTGATGTGTAGTCGTAAATCTCGTCAAGCAGCTTGCGCGCCGGCGGGGGGTACATCTTTTTCTCGTCGATGAGCCCAAGGACGCACCCCAGGCACGTGCCCCATCCCACTGACCACGCGAGGTCACAACGCTCAACATCGCGTTTGGGAGGCGGGGTCGGAGGTACTTGCGGGTAGATGATGGAGATGTTGAGGCCCATGGCAAATTGCAAGTGAGGTGGACTTCGATACTGCATCACGACTGTTGTCCGCTCCGACTTGATAATATCCGACGAACGTTAATATCAAGTTTGAACCAATGAAAACGGTCGTGTCAGCAAAAGTGCATGTTGTCGTGTTGTATCAAGTGTGTATCAAGTGGCGTTGCATGATACGGCAAAGTGTATGTGCAGCTATCGGTCGGTTCCCAGCTGCACCGTTTTTATGTCCTATGCTCGGTTTCTCATATGAATGAAGTGGAGCTTTTGTATCACGCAAGACGACAAATGAAATTTGCCTCTTGAGTCCCTGACTTCTGCACAACACAATAAACTGTAACAGTGGCAAAACATTCAGAATGGGACAAGTTCACACGTCCTTGTCGCGCAACAAGAAGCTCAAGGTCGCCCATGACGATCTTGAGATGGACAGCGTCGACATCGAGACCACGTCTGGGGTCATGCAGTGGTGCGCAGATGTCATGAGGTACACTGAGAACGCCGTCGACGGTACAAGCGACGATACGCACGCATATCGTCTTCTCCAGTGGCTACAAATGGCCCCAGATATTTTTGCATGCGCTGACAAGATCATTCAAGGTCACCTCACGAAGATCAGTCAAGTCCAGTACGGCGCAACCAAGCACAACCAAGCTCAGAGTCTTGTCGCAACCCCAAAGCACTCCGAAGATTACATCGACAACATGTCGGCAGTCGTTGTGTATGGCGAAGGCGACACGCTGGCATCCATGCCCAAGGAAGCGTCCAGCACCGACACCAACAAAAGAAACGTTGCAGGCACGACGCAAGGCGACGACGACCTTGGCATGGCCGACTATGTGTGCCACGGTAGCCAAGACGACTTGGGCAATGCACCAATAACGGAAGCAATGACTGCGGCACGCTCCAGCATGGACCCCACCAACAACAGAGGTGGGATGCCGTACAGCGACGACGACGACGATATGGGCATGACCCAAAGTGATATGGACAAAAATGGTCTGCTGAATCACGAGGTCCAACCGATGCCAATCGTATTTTACGAAACGCACAGCGTCCAGCTTGCCGCTACGTCAAAGGCCGTACGCGAGTCCTTGGAAACCGCAAAGGCCTCGCTTCTCGTAGCCCATGCATTGCTTGGCAGCGACTCGGCCACGGTGAAGATCATTTGCACGAGTGCTACCATTGTGTGCACGCTTTTGGCCCTCGATGCGCCCCCTCGATCAGCACTCTCGGTCAAGACCCGCGAGCTTCACGAGTTGTGTGCAGCGTACAAGTCCAAGTATTTGTTGAAAGTTCTCCAGCCCATGGTGCGCGTTGACCGCTTGCTGACTCGACAGCACGTGTCATACGGGAATGTGCTTCCGGCACAGGCTGCTTTGTACTACCAACCATCGCGTCCACGTTGCCTGATGTAAAGCGCCAACATTGACAACGGATGATTTTTCCAACAACTCGATAGTCTTCAGTATCGTAGTAGAGCTGTACTAGAATTACATAAATGTAGCAATAGAAGATGAACGGTGCTTCCGTAACGAACACTCTTTGCGTCGGGCGAGGCACAATAATTGTGCCCATACGATGCCACCCATGTATCCAATACGGCTGGATAGTATTGGATTTGAAAGGAACGACCCGCACTCTCCAACGCCAATAACGAATGTCACAGGCCTCTTCGAAAAAGGCCATCTGGCCATGGCCGCCACGATCGAGCGACGACTCGCACCCGACGCCGTCGAAGCGATTGCGACCTTCCTCCGCGACGCCGACGACCTCTTCGCGCTCCTCCATGCGCTGCCACCAAGCCTCTTGACAGACGCGCTCACGAGCCTGCTGGCGCTAGCGGCCACGACACCGCGCCGCCACCTCTGGCCGACGACCAATGGCCTCCTCGCGTCCCTGCGCGACCACCCGGACCGCGTGCGGAACGTAGCCCGCTGCATGGTGTTGTACCTGGTCGTGACCTTGCCTGACCTCGACGACGCCTGGCTCGTCCCGCTCGGACCCGCCACGAGCGTCCGCATCACGCTCGTACTGCCGCAGCACGTGGCCATCGCAGCGTCGCTTTCGCTGCGCATCGTCTCGCTGGACCTTTGCTTCGCCAGCGGTACGCACCTGTACGACTGCAACGTCGCAGCGCGCGAAGTCGAGCAGCTTTGCGCGTGGCTACCGACACTGCCGCATCTGGTCCGGGTGCGCCTTGCGTCAAAGTCGACAAGCATGACTGCCGTCCTCGCCGCAGTCGTCGCCTCCCGCGCCACCGAGCTCGAGCTGGCGTCGACATTGGGCGATCCATGGATAGTGACAACAGCGCTCACAACATGGCTGGAGCGCGGTGACGCGACGGCACTGACCGTCACGGCAGGAGTCTCTCTCCTGGGCACGAACGAGCTCGTACTGGCGCTCGTGTCGCTGCGCAGGCTGCGCTCACTGCGCGTCGAGGCCACGTCCTTGTCCCAGCAGCTCTGCCACCCCGACTATGCATGGCCACCATCGCTATGCTCGCTCCACCTTGCATTTGGTAGCTTGTACAACTTTCGCAAGCTCGCGCATCGGCTGGTGAGCTGTCCACGCTTGTCCTCGTTGACGCTATCGGCGTCAGCCTCCACGAAGCTGGGTCCAATGCATTTTTATCGTGTTGTCTCGGAGGCGCTACCAGCACTGCACCAGCTGCGGTCGCTTACGTTGACGTCGTGGCATCTCATGCCGTCTTGCATCGATAGCCTCGTTCGAGAGGTGCTTCCACGGCTACACGAGCTGTCCCTTGACGACAACGACCTCGGGGACGACAACGCGGCAGTGCTTGCACGTATCTTGACTCGCGGCTCGTCGCTCTGTTCCTTGCGACTCGTGCGTCAGCGTGTGGGTGATACGGTGGCGCTGGCGCTTGCAGGCGCGCTCCCAACGTGCACGTCGCTTCGCCAGCTGTACTTGGGCAGCAACCGCATTGGCTCTGTGGGCGGAGTCGCGCTGGTGCAGGCACGTCCAGCGTCGCTGCGCCTTCTCGCGCTCAACAAGAACGCGCTCTCGCGTAGCAGTGTCCTCGACCTGGCGCAGGCAGCGACGCAAAGACCAAGCTGGCCTTTCACGATGGACCTGTCGTCAGCGTTGTCGTCGGCCGCTGACCGCGCCGCGTGCCGGTCGATCGTGCACTCGCTAGTGCCACCCCACATTGTCGTGCATCTCTAGTCGAGTGGACGTTTGTGTCCACTATTTTTGCTCGTAATTTTGATATTTTCAACATTTCGTGCTATTTTGGATCCATTTGTCGACAAAGATGACTGGAATCTGTACACTATTTTCGATCCTTTAAAAGTGGTTGACAAGAAAAGATGTGTTTTGTGCGAATCCGGTGATACAATCTCAGTGTTCGCGCCTAAACAACCACTAGCTCGACTAGAATGCTAGAAAACACATGTCCAGACTTCATGTGTACCCACATACTCGTACTGAAGTATTACCCTAGTCTGGTTTGTTGTTTGACATTTGAGTTAGAGGTCCGAGTACAGGAGCCTGCGTACGACCTCGCGCGAGCTAGAACTCGGCGAGTGGAGTCCACCACGGGATGGACATCTCCGTACGCAGCTCACTCCCAACGACCAAGTGCTGGTGCCAACTCCTACACATTCAGGCGTAGCGCTACGTATGCGAAGTCTTTGTGTCATAATGAAGATAACGCGGAACACGTTCATATATATATATAATTAGAGGTGTTTTGGCCGGTATGGCGACGAGAGGCTCACGCAAGGTATCGCTGTGTCTGACGGCGACTGTTGGAGTCCTTGGAGCAGCACCGAGTGCACGCTGGGCTTGACCTGCGCGGCGTCCTTAAAGAAGCCCACATGCAACGCCTGTTCGCTCCACACAATGGGCGCCGGCGTCCACCTACGTACTTGTCCTCAATATTCCATTTATGTACTTTGCAAGATGGACGGAACGTACGTGCGATGCAAGTCGGTGGTGAGCGCGTGCAAGTCGGCGCGCCACTCGGTGCGGTCCGACTGGTCGGACGCGAGCGAGATGCCTATCCAGCGTCGTTTGCGAAAACATTACAATGAGGAGTACCCGTGTGGGCGAGGCTTGGCATGACGATGACGTTGCGCTTGGGCTTGAGGACATTGTGTTTGGGGCACAAGTGGGCCTCGGCAGCATAGTGCTTCTAGTCAAGTCGTTTCGATCAATGGTTTTCAAGCTTAGGAAACCTCGGGGTCCTATCCCAGAAAACATTAAACAAAAAGCGATTCGAAAGGTACCACCTTGCTCGGACTGGCTTCGTGCGCAGTCAAGTAGTAGACATCGGGGTTGCTCGCCGACGAGCGGAGGCCGTTGAGGTACGGCAGCGCGCAGCGCGAAGGGCGCAGCGACGGCGACGCAAAACAGTGGACACACGTTGCAGTCTACGCGTGCAAAGACACTTTGTCACATGGCTTTCGGACAAGTTGGCGTACGGCGTGGGACGGCCGCAGCGGGTGACGGCGCGCCGGACTCGACATTTTGGGACGAACGAGCAACCTTGCCCTTGTCGAGCGGCAGCTATTTTAGGGACTATACTTGTAGTACGGTTGTTGTGTCAGAATGCGTTTCGTTGAGTGGGCAAAGTCAGATCGTCCAACGCAAAACTCAACTTTTCAACGACAAGCGTTTGCACAAGATCCTGCGTACGCTAGTACATTGGCTGCATTCTTAATGCATTAATACACGATTGGCCATGTGCAAGCGTATCGCATAGCTTCACTCGGAAACATTTAAACCTTCCACCCTAACCTTTTTACGAGTAACTTTTCTGTCGAGTTGCATGCTAGCCGTCGATGGGATCCGTCTCGTGTACGAAGTGCGTGCACTGCGCGCCGTTGTCGACGCCAACGCAACTGGCCAAGAGATTTGCTTGTACCAAATGCATGGCTTCGAGGCTTCATCTGCAAGACATTGCTGTGGTACAAGCACTGGAACATATGTTGTCATGCAGTCCGCGTTGGCCACCGCAGGTCTACGCACGCAGACGCCCTCACCCGTCGCCTCTCCGTACGTGCACTGATGAACCCTCGTGGAGGACCCCGTACATCGTACAACGAATAGACAATGTGTTGATCTTTGACATGCGACTAGTCGCACCGCTCTTGTGATGCGTTGGCCAACACAAATGTCAGCAGCCGGGCTACCGTGCCCCGCCTTGTCTCGTATTTTGCCCACCGCCGAGCATCTGCCGGCGCCACGTACGTGGAATTCGCACCAAAGCCACGGCATTTCTTCCGGTCGCGCGCCAACTTGTCTGAAGTTGACCGACCGCGTCACCCGAGGACCTGTCCACGTCCAGTTTTTGCGCGAAAAGACCGGCACAATGCTCGTTTTATCCGGAAATTGACGGGTTTTGCGTATTTTACAGCATATTCACCGTCTTTTCACGCACCGTTCGAGATTGCTCCGACACCAGCTGGTCCGTGCGCCTCATCCTGGCACGGGCCATTGGCAAAATCGCGATGGCGCTGCACATGACCGACGACGGCGTCGCCGCCGCGTACGCATCGGCGCTGCACAGCCTCGCGAGCGCGACCGGTGCCCACTGCGTGTCCCAGACGCTGCAGCCGCCCGATGAGGTGCCGGGCCTCGACGTCGATGGGCTCGAGAGCCCGATCGCGTGGCCGCTCTACACGGACGAGCGCGACGTGCTCATGGAGCTCTTCCACGGCGACGACCACGCGTGCGTCGTTGTGCCATCGGCGCAAGCCACGTTCAGCGACGATATGGACGAGCCGCTTCTCGACGCAATCGCACACGACGTCCGGAAGCGCCTTGGCATCCGCTCGGCGTTCAGCGCCGAGCTGTCGCACCTCGTGCTCGAGAGCAGCGGCGTCACATCGACCAGCCATCTGCTCGCGCGCAACCCGAGCGAGTCGTCGTTCGGCACGCTGCTGCTGCTCGCGCCGGCCATCGACCGCCACGCGGGCGGCGACGTCACGGTCACGGGCGCGCGCGACGCCATCACGTGGTCGACCTCTGCCGAGCACATGCGCTGGAGCTACTGCGCGTTCCTCAACACATCGAGTGTGACCATGACTTCATTAAGCGACGGCCACCGGGCGCTGCTTGTTTTCGACTTGGTCTACGACGCCGCCGAGCCCGGAACGAACCATAGCCTGAGCGTGCACGACGCACTGCTGTCGGCCGCGCGTTGCCCGCGCCAGCGCTACACGGCTGCGCTCTACAGCTGCAGCCATCGGCCAACGACACCGCTCTCGTTCGACGCGCTGCGCTCGGCGGACCGGGCATTTCTCCATGCTGTGCTCGCCACGTCCGCCTTTGACGTCGCGCTGGTCCGCGCCACGCCGTCTCTCGACGACGCCTTTGACGCGTACTTGCTTGGCGACGACGATATGCCGATTGAGATTGCAGAGGCTCTCTTTGTGCCAGACGCCGACGTGCCAACGGCGGTGCAACGGGCCTTTTGCCAAGCCCCGCTCGTCGGCCTCGCCGTCAACGAGTCGCGCCGCCGGTCGCCCGACTACCTCGTACTCTGGCCCAAACAACACCGATGGCGCATCCGTGGTTTCCAAGCAACGCTCACCGCGCTGCAGTCGTCGGTGCCGTCAGAGGTGGACGCTATCGCGTTGGCTGCGATCGACGCCTTTGCCGCCATCGACGTCGTCCACACGCACCCATTTGACTTGCCGTCGCCAACGACCCTCGGCGCCGCGCTGGTCGCCCTCAACCGCCTGCCGCTCATTCAGGCTTTTCTGCGCGATGCCGTCGACTTGAGCGACGTCTACTACTTTGATGCGATGGTGCACTGGATCACTCACGTGCTGCAGACCTATGGCTGGCCACAACTGTACGACGCATTGCTGCACCTGCTCTCTCGCGCCGGCGCCACGTGGTGTGGCGCAGCCAAGGGCGCCGAGCTTCTCTCGCATCTTGCTACATCGCTGCGCACGCAGCCGTTTGCGCGCGAGTGTCTTCTCGAGAGCTGGCACGCTCTATTGCAAGCGCTCCTGTCGATGCCCGAAGCACCGCTGACGCCTACGTCGGTGCCGCCCGCGCTCCTCACCCACGGTCTCGTATTGGAAGCGTCCTTTCACTCGACGTCCGAGACAGTCGAGACATCGTGGCTCGGCGCCAAACTGCCGCCAAGTCTTGTGCGCCACGTGGATGCGTACCGCGCATCGACGTTGGAGACGCTGCTGGCAACGTACCCGACCGCGTTCCACCCGATTCGGGGCGTCGCTCTCGCGATCGACCCGCTGTTGCCCGCGACAAGGAGTGACGACACGAGCTTGCATCTGCGGCCGTGGCTGCGGAATGTCTTTGCGACGTTTCCAAGCTGCTTGGACCGTCTCCACGGCATCCTTGACGACGCCGTGCTCGCTGCGCTCGTTCGTGTCGCTCGAGCTGCAAATGCGCTGCCGCTTTTGCTGCAGCACGCGCAATCGTGGCTCGGGCGGTTTGTGTTGCCAGCTCTGGTGCAGCTCCTCGACGACCCGCCGACGTTGGCACTGATCCGTGACCCGCTGTTGACGCTCGTCAACGCCTTCTTGGCCGAGGACCAGGACCCGGACTTGGACGGTGATGACGAGATGCGCGAAAACCCGCCCGACGTCATTGAAATGCTTTTGCGGGACGAACTTGCAGTGCTACGGGCCATGCTGTTGCTCCTGCGCCGTCTCGACGGCCCTTTGGACGTGTGGCGACGCGCTCTGACGTCGCATCGTCAGCTCCATGACGTTGCGTTTGCTCGGTATGTCCTTGTGCCGCTCCATGAGCTCGTGCACGACGACGACATCGATCTCGCAGCATGGCTGGCGACATTGGCGCGGCCCGTGCTCCAGCGCCATCTGGCCAACGAAGTGCTGCCAAATCGGCCCAACTGGAGCATCACTAGCGTGCAGTTGCCGTGCGACTGCGTCCAGTGCAGTGCGATCACGGCCTTCCTCTCGGACGCGACGCGGTCGCTACTCCGCTTGCCCCAGCAGGGTCTTTGCCCCTTGTACGGCGCCGCCGAGAAGCTCTTGTTGCCCGCCGGCGTCGCGATCGACGACAGCCCGACGGGGTCCCACGTCGTGCTGCTAAAGCCACGTCACTGGACCTTCTACGAGCACGCTCTGGACGAAGCCGGGCTTGCCGCGTTGGACGACGACGACCGCCACGCAGCCAAGCGCCAGCGCCGCTTGTCGCCGCGGTCGGCTTGAACTTGTTACAATATAGATGCATTGCTAGTACCTAACCCTTTTGTTGATTGTTGTTGAAGTGGGTCGTCTATTAAAATCGATACGTATGCGGAGGCAGGAGCGCAATCCGCGGGACAAGGTGCTGGCGCGGCCACTCGTGTTGAGCGAGGAGCCGGAGAAGGCGACGGAGAGCCATCTGCCCTGGGATTTGAACGAGGCTGTGGTGCAAGTGCATTTGAGCGACACGCGCCGCTTTGACGGCAATCGTCCATGGGCTTGGTAGTGGGACGGACGCGCCAGACGTTGAACCAGACTCAGGCGCGGAGCATTGGCCAAAGGTAGCTTATGTTGGTTGATGGAGAGCAACACGCGTAGCTAACACGCGTGTGTTGGTTTGACAAACCTCTGCGTACACAAGGTCCGCCTGGGGTCGCTCGCTTTTGAATCGACAATGTCATCGTGATCGATGAAGCGCACCTCTGCGACGGCGTCAAGCCTGTTTGGCGTGGCCGCCATCCGCGTCCATCGGTCTTGACGCTATTATGTGTTTCGCCTATACCACGTCGGGCGACGTTGGCGGACGCTATCTCGATGTCGTCTGCGCCCAGCGAAGGAGTATGCAATCAATGTACAATGTTATCCTCTGAACGCCTCAAGCTGGGAACTAGTTGAGGAGAAACGCGAGACACATGCGGTCGATCGGGGGGTGTCGTCGCCACTTTGTTTGCAGATGCAGGTGCTTTCGCCGGCGGCGTTCGGCGCGCTGCCGCGCGCACTTGGCCTCGTAGCGCGCCTTGAGTCGGGCGAGCACTTCGTCGCGGTGCCGTTCATAGTACTTGCGCGCACGGGCCCGGTTGCGCTCACGTGTCTGCGGCGACAGCGTGCGTTTCGAGGGTCCTTTGTCATCCATCGACAGCCTTGTCAAGTGCATTCCGGCAGCGATTTTTCGTGTTGTAGGTGCACCACGTCCCATGGGTCATTAAGCGGCTGGGACACTGGAGAAAGCACGTCGGTTAGCAAACGTTCGTGGCAGAGTGTATGTCTCTTGCACCACACATGGGTTGATGCTGGCCCATTGAACATGCAAAGAACACCACCACTTGCTGAATACGCAAGCGATGTGCCTCTTTCAAATGATGAACGCGCTGCGCCAAGACGCCTGGCTTCGTGACCACTTTGTCGCGGCTTGCGCCATGCATACGCCTCACCCTCAACACGGCTAAGCCTCGCCGCTGCTGCCGTCTAGCACAACACGCTCAAAGTCAAAAGTCCAACCCCAAAACTAGTTCAGTGTAAATTATACTAGCTAACGAGACTCACTGCAACAACAACGTGCAAAGAACACGTCGGTGTCGAGTGTCCTGGGCACCCTATCCATGCGATGTTGGATATATCCAGGACCTATATACTGACGGTGACCTGTATCCTACTGGCACATCGTGTGTGTTGCCACGCACTGTTGGGATGCTTGTATGTCATAGTTATGGTAGGAAGTTGCACAAGCAATGAGCCAGTTGACCCTTCTCTTGGCGGGAAAAACTGGTGATGAATGGGCGTCGTCGCCGCGCAAAATGTGTGCTATCGACGACCACATCTAGCGTGTTTTGCTGCTGTCTATGGCTTGTGGCTCGTGGAATACAAACCTCATCTTCGTCTCATGATACCGCGCACAAATGGTGGTAAGCCGCGCTGGATGTTAGCCCGTCCATTCTTGACCAATCCGCGTGCTGTATTTGAAACCGCCAATCAAATCTCAGATAGGATTCGCAAGTGGCCAATGACTGTGGCCCCGTACGTGGCTCGGTTAGCTAATCAGAAGCTGTGAGGGTGTCGTTGCGTGGTCATGTCCCAGCCGCACACTGCAGCCACCACACTGCATGTTGACGTACGACCCTCGCTTTCCCGCAATCAATCGCGCCTGATGCTCCTCACTCCGCACCCCAGTGCCAGGCCTCCCAGTGCCATGAGAATGTACCCTGACGCAGCCACCAGTGCTCGTTCCCCCCGTGAAGAAAGCTCTGTTGCGCGTAGTTTTAGGGGTTATTACATCAAGCCGCGTCCCCATCACATCTTTTGCGTGGCACCTCGGACTCAGGTTTTGGCAATAATTGCGGGCTCTCCTGTGCTCTAACAGCCTTACCGGTACTACATCTAGATCACAGCGTTTGCTTCTGATCGACAATTGCTCGTTCAGATACGCTTTAACCATGGCGCTTGGAGTGCCAATGCGACCCTTGTGGGTCTATCCGGATATGAGACGCCAGAACGTTCAAGATGGCCATTGTGGGGGTGCGGTACCGTAATAGCAGCTCTGACACTCAGCCCCGATGGTCCGACAGTAGTGGGCCACGCAATGGGTTGTGTTCTAGCTCGAGTGTCTCATATCGCATACAAGATGGGTCTGGGTATGATGATCGCGCGATCTAGTTCTTCGTCGCCGTCCGAGCTTTGCAGCGTCATGCAGGCGACCGTCCGCGCTTCGGGCCCGTGGCCTCGCCTTGATCTTTTTGTAGATCCTTAGAGAGTTATGGTCCATGCTACCTCTACTATACGCGCGTAGACGCTAGGAGTGTGTCGATCATTGATGTCCTTCGGGTGGAGTCATTTTGGTGCCACAGACACGTTGGTATGCCGGGCTCGAAACGTAAACGCGCACTACCTTTTGTCCAATTTCGATGTTGCAAGTAGAGAAAAAGAAGATAATTTTACGACATTAATTCAGGATAAAGGACAAATCCAGAGGGCCCGCGGCAGCCGTTGTTTCCTGCGTCGACGAGTTGACCCTTTCATTGCCGTTGGTCGACAAAGGTTCGGGGGTTGCGACATTGAAATAGCTCTCGAAAAAGTGCCGGTGCTTTTCATAGTAGGCTTGGGTCTCGGCCTCGCGCTTCATCGCATATTTGGACTTGAGTTTCGCCAGGACCTTGTCGCGGTTCGTGGCGTAGTATTGCTTGGACCGCTCGCGGTTGCGCTCGAGCGTCTTGTCCGATAGCTCGCGCTTCGTCGTCATCGCTGTTGCAATTTGAAAATGAAAAGCAACATCAAGGAGCTTTTGCGCTGGTCCGCGCGCCGTGGGACTCTCACCGCTTGCCATGGGGTACGGCGGACGGAGGCTCATGCTCATGTGAGCTGTATCGGAACATTTTTTCTTATGATGGGCGGTGTGCGATGTGGCATGGTCCGACAGGCGAGGTATACCGACTCGCATTTGGAATGCATGTGTAGGGCACGTCGCCGTCATCTCGCCCGCACCTTTGCAACCTGCAGAAGTAGAGCGTCTATCAGGAAATGCAAGTGAATATACTACATGACGATATATTCCACTCCGCAAACTCGGGTCCGTAAAGAATCTTCATATAAACAAACCCTGGACGCAATTGGGCCATAAAAACACCACATTGCACGACGCATATGTCTGTACAGTCGACAGTGTACCACACGACTAGGGTTCTAGACAACAAAATAA